CAATCAAAAAAATTTACAAAAAAGATTAAATAGAAATTATTATATAAACTATATAAATTTAATTAAAACTGTGAACAATGAAATGAATTTTTTATCTAAATAGGAATCTCAATTTGCACACAATTATTTAACTTTTCAGTATTCTAGAGTAGACCATTATTTAAATATAAACCATTTATCTAAAACCAGTAAAAATAATTTTCATATTATAGTTTCAAAGTCGAGAGACAAAAAAGTGTGCCATCAATTTCGTTCTGCTCCACAATGCTCAATGCAGAAATAAAGGCGAGAAGTAGAATAAATTGTTTCAAGAGAGAATAACGGCGAGCACCTCATTTGATTATTTCGGCACTTTGCGGCTTATCGAATTTCTTTCTAGGCCAAACGTTTCCTATTTCTCCATTTCTCTCCTGTGCATGGCATTTCATATATACTCATCCTGAAAATGGCTCCAAAGTGGAGCGGCGCTTCCGAGCCTCAATTATTCATTTTCTCACGGGCTTGAATACGGTGGTCAGGTGAAATATTTTTCGCACTTTTCCCCACTTAACGAGTGGTTCATACAGACAGAGTTAGGGCTCAGATATTATTAAACAACCAACTACTTCTCGTACTTCTCCAAAACAAAAAGCCGCGCCTATGGTGCGAAAGTAAATAATTCACAGCTGCCGGTGGCGAAGTGCGCAAAACTTTTAATTGAATGGAAATCGCGCGACGTTAAACTTGATTAAATTGTTCGTGATGGATGGAGACGGATTTTGGCACAACCCAAACTTTGCGCATCAGGTTTAATTTAGCTCCGCAGCAGTTTTATCGAGCGCTCCCTGGGGGGCATCGCGCCAGAAACGGGACAGAAAACGTATTAATGGGTTTTGTGTGATTTTTGTTTGCGTAATTAGGAGGGTAGGAATGTCGTGTGGGGCATGTTTGCGCTGATTAAATTGCTGTCGCCCGCCGCAGGCTTCGATATGGATTTTTGCGCCCCAAATTCGCGCATGCTGGTGATTATTATTGCTCTCATGTGCGTGTCACACACGAGGATTGAACAACGTATATGTTTGCGCGCGGATAATGAAAGAGACATGCAAAACAAACACTCTCGGCGCCACTATTTGGATTTGCCTCTGTTGGTAAATTTGCGTTCTATTATTTGGCCAAAGCCAATGCGCTTTCATAGCAAACATTGGGGCATTCAAAGTTTTCAAACTAATTTTGATTACGCAGACTTGATTACGATCTATGAAACTATTTGCCTCCTTCTCAAGATCGGTTTTGTAATACGTCCCAGGGTGCTTAGCAACATGACTAGTTGGAACCAATTTAGATATAGAGCAGCCAGCGGAACTCAAAATGCATAATTATATTCAAGAGCAAAGTCAAGCAGAACAAAGATTATTCTACATCATAAAAGGTTAAATAAAGATAAAAACAAAAATTAGAGAAAGCTAAGATCTGTACATATTTAAATATCTCAAATTCAAGAAATTAGTGATTTAATTTTAGGAACTCATGAAGAAATTTGAAACATAAATTTAATTTATTGTCCTTTTGTCTACCAATTCATTTTAATCAATCTGATTTTTTTATTCAAAACTGAATGTTAACAATGTGGTTGGAATAATTGGAAGAATTAACAACAACTTTTAATATTGATTACAAAATATAACAGAATATAGCCTAAACATTTGTTCTCCCGTGAAAGTGGTCAACGATTTATTATTTTATATTAAAAATCTTTAATTTAGTAAATAAATAAAGAGATTTTATTCATATTGAGAGATATTAATGCTGACGCTGACTATTCCTTTCTTATCCAAATTTGTGATATTTACTGGTTTTTCAAGCAATAAAACATATATTTACAATCCGTCAAATTTCACTTTCCAGAAGTAGTCATGCAACACGGCAACCATAATTATAGAAGTGCCGAACCATGCGCCGGAATGTAATAAACTCCTTTTCGAGTGTTCTTTTGATGTCACGATTTTTCACCTGCATGAGCTTTCGCGCTTGCAGCACCTTAAAGGCTTTAATATTGCAAAGTGCCTCGTCAGAGAGCAAATTCTCATTAAACATTCATCGAATCTGGGGTTTCTCATTGACTCGTGTTCTCACGCTCAAATGACTTTTTTTGTTTATTTTTCGTCAAAACGTATAGCGAAGCAAAATATTTCTTGATTTGGGCTTTCTCTGCGAAATATTGTGTTTTTCTGCCAGAGAAATTGCGCTCTGCGGAGGAAATAAAATCCAATTTCAAGCTGAAATCCCGCAGATAACGAGAAAGAGCATCTCACGCCCCGACGAAAGAGTGTAATTTGCCGGCCTAATCTTGTGCGCGCCGCTACTCTGTTTCGTAGAAAAATGAGCGCATTGTTTTCGCCTCCGTCCTCACAAATTCCACTTCACACATGTGGGCCAAAAACTGGAGCACCAAAGAAGAATCGTATATTGACGATTGAGACGTCCACCGTTTGAGCGTCAAAAGATAAAGGAAGTCGCCGTTTTGCTTGGTGCACTTTTGCTCGAGACCTTGGATTTGTACCAAGCAAGAACAATCACATAATACCGACGAGTTGCGGTGACGTCACCTTCGCAATGGCATTGCATTTTCCTTCGTTTTCCGTGAGAGCGAAACTCCCTTTGTGTAATTTAGTATAATTTGTCGTCCAGACGGATTAAAATTAATAAGAAGCATAAATTCTGGACTCCCGGCTTTATTACCGTCTTAATTAATTCCAGCAGAAGATAAGCCTCGGGTTACTCCCACAAAATTTTATACCCCAGTCTTAAAAGACATCTGAACATCTGAAGATAAAATTTTGGAAATAAAAATAAGGATAACTAATCTCAAGGTCACCATAGAGAGATGCATTAGGAAATATTATTTTTCTCATCAGCACCCGTGGCAATTAAGTGGCCTGAGAAACGACAGTCGCTTTACTGTTACTAAGCCAAGAGAAGGAGGAATAGGCAATAAAAATATCTAATAAACAGGCCGGAAATAATAAGAGACCACTCGGGCCTGATGACAAAGGTTTCCGAGTGGCACCAATTCGAATTGTGGACTGTTATCAATTTGTGGTAGTTCGTGTGTTTTGGGCCGACACACACACACACACACACACACACGAGATTAATTGCTCATGTCAGGTGAAACCTCAACAAGCGGTGGAGCGGTGTTTGGGTTGCCAGATTCGCGGTAAACGAACGTAATTTTTCAAAGCGTTCCAGTATGGCTTTGCTGTCAGATGGAAAATGAGGCGGAAAAGCTGTGTAGTGAAGCAATTCGCAAACACACAAATATTGGTAAAATTAGTGTGTTAATAATACAAAAGGGTTGTGGAATGGCAATCGCGCATATCGGAGTAAAGACAAATTGTTTTATAAGCTTGATATTTTGTTTGTTTATTTAAATTAAAAAAAGGGACTTGTGGTTGAAATTTGAAATGTGAAGCTTCCTGTGATTATTTATAAGTATTCCCTTCCATTCAAAATGTGTAATTGTTGTTTATAATTATTAAAAATATTCATGACACAAAAATTTTATTTTTATGGTTTCAGATTAATTAAAAAAAAAGAATTCTTAGAAATTGTGAGATTTGTATTTTATTTTCTTGACGAAATTCAAATCAAACCATGCATCAAGAGCGCAAGAAACATTTAATTAGATGATCATACCCCTTTTTACATTATTTATTTTACCAAAAATAAATAATCAAACTCAAAACTCATATGATAAAAAAATCATCACAATAAAAGTTATTTTCTTGGTTCTCGCACTTTGTTATTTCCATTTATTAACATGTCACTGTTTCAGACATTATAAGCGACTGCTGCGAAATTAAGTGTCAAGTACTGAAAAGAAGAAGCATTATCAATTATACCAGTACGGTGGAAATTTTCGCCGGCTGGAGGGTGTTTATCAATCGAGGCGGCGAAATAACTCACGGAGGCAGGTGAAAAGCAAAGAGAATGAGCACCATTGTCGCCCCTTTTTGCCCGAGTGGCGAAATTTATGCCACGCCATATCAGATGGAAAAATAATATTCCCGGTGGTGGTGCTGGAAAAAGGGGCACCTCGCGCGCTAGAATTTATGGCCGCGAGTCGTAAGTGGTTTACTCTTGTAACGGGGATAAAACACGCTTTATTGTCGCACCGGACGGGAAATTATTGCCTCCGTGTGTAGCCATAAAATTAGAAATAATTGAGATTTCTGACAAAAATGATGCAGTGTGCCTATTTATTGCCTGTCCTGTGCTCAATTAATTATTCGATGCAAATCCTGCCTGCAATTCATAGCATAGGTCGCCACATCTTCCCCCGCAAATTTGTTGCTTTAAGTTCGAATTGAACTGGAAGGCACTTGAAAGTTTTAATGGTGTATATTTGCGGCACAAGATGCAATTGAAAAGTTTGCCGGTTGATTTATTCCGAGGAAGAGAGGGCGCGGCTCGTTTGTTCTGCTCCTAATATCTAACAAGAAAACTTGTTGACATCCCAGCAAGTGGGAAGAGACACAAGCCTTTTTAGCGAGTCTAGACGACCTTGTGACGTCACTTTTGCATTACCTCAGCCAAATTTAATAATACAAAAATAATTACTTAATAATACAAGCATTCAACGTTGGTGAACACATTGGAAATGATTTTACATAATTAAAAATTAAGCTCTTTCTCTTAAAAATTTCTTGAATATTATATTTTTTCCTTTATTAAGAAAATCACTTAAAAGCCTGCATATTTATGGTTTATTATCCTTAAAATATTTCTTAAAAGAAGCTTTAAAAAAAATGAAAAATTAAACATATTAAAATTTCATAAAAATTTAGAGAATCGATTTAATTTATTTTCATCAAAACTGTTTTATGTCCTAAAAACGCCCAAAGAACCAAAGAAACTTTAGGGTTTAATATAAAGCGATATAAAGTTAAGAACTTTCTTGAAGTGTTTAATAATACACATGCACGCAGCATAACTCATACCATAAAAAGCAAACTCACCAAGGGCAGGCGTGTCCTCTTCGAGCTCAACCAAAACCCTGCCGCTCAGAAACTGACCAGGGAAGTAGAGAAGATTGGTGTTGTCGAAAAGGATGACAAACTTGATCAGTTTCTTCGCCATTTTCCGACGGAAGAGATCCAATTGTGTACTTTTGTCACCAGCTGATCATCCTTTGGGATAAAAAGGTGCGCCTAGTCCGTTCAGTCTCTCTGTTGTGATGTTTGTTGATCCAGCGACTTACAAGGCAAGGTGGCGGCGAGCGAAGGAAACTGAGGAGACCTGCTGGTACCTGACTAGCCGCGCCTCCCACCTGCAATGTTCCCACTCTCGCATTCCTTTTCCAGGCTTTCCCTTTCGCCGCAAGGTCCCTGGCAGCGTATTAAAAACTGCTGGCGACATCTATATCACAGGAGGAATAACCTGTTAGAATATAGATAAAATATTATATGACAAATATTTTAACAAATAATTAAAATTTATTTCTTTTAATTTTTTTGTTTGATTTTCCATACAAATCTTTTTTAAAATAAGTAGCAACTGTATATTTTCCGAAAATAAAAGAGTGAAAATGAAAAAAAGAAGACTTAAGCCCAATCATTTATGCACTATATAATAAATTTCACAAAGTATAGTATGCTGCAGATATGTAAATTTTGTGTGTGTTCATTTTACCATTAATAGCAAACATACAATTCATGTTATTTTTTACCTTAAAAAATTAAATTTAACTCCCCCCCCCCCAATCACATTTTTAGAGTATGTATAATTTTTTTATATATATTTGAATTGAATGTAATATTAATTATGCATATCGTACCGACAGAGGAAGTCTGAAGTTTGCTGCAACTTTTTTTGGTGTAATTTCTAATTTTACATTCAACTACAAAAAATCATAAAATCGCAATGGGAAACATTCCATTTGATTTTTCTGATGTTGTATTCAGTTGCAAATGATATTTATTGATATATCATATATCTTAGAGGCAATCACAGCCCATATCGAAATACATCGATCATAAATTCATAGTTACTACATTTTATTGTAATTAATTATATTTAGGATTATAATTTTCTCAAGGTACATAAATATAGTAATCATCATTTTAAATAAAAAAGGTATATATGTTTCGTTTATAATGTAAAAAAGATACGAGAAGCTTTGTTTTTTTATGCAATGCACCACCCTTTATAAAGAATTTGGCAGATAAAAAAGTTAATATTATAATTTTTTTACATTTTTTGCGGCTTGTTCATATCTATAAACTGAATTTGGATTTTAGCAAGGATTGTGCTTAGCATAGTGATAACGTAATTATCCACCATTTATCGGAACTTCGGAGCGCGAAAATGTGGAAAAAGCGTGGTTCTTGCTGCGCCAGCGAAATTATTAAATTACCGACACAAAACACGCTCGTGCAGCCTTTGGGTAAAAGGAACACGAGGGGCAGCCAAAAATTTCATATTGGGTGCTTGCTCTCCATTATAATGTAATATTATATGTGCGTGTAGCTGCGCCTAATAAAAAGGTTGTGTGCAGTGCGGAAATTTTATTAAAATTGCCTGCTTCTCCCTCGCATCCTCTTTTATACTGACGGAGAAAAGGAGTGAAAATATTTCAAGCGGGAAATAAGAGCGCGACTCTTATTTGAATACATTATTATTACACGACTTGTGTTTTTGGCACAATCTCTCTACTCTTCAAAATTTTGGCCAAATGAGCTTTGTTAACCCAAAATGAAGTTTTCTACTCGATAACGTTTTGTGGGAAAGTTTTTTATTAGGTCGAGGTGGCGCGTAATATATTATGTTTTTTTGGCGTATCCGTTTCATAAAGCATGCTGCAACACACCACACATTTTCCAGCGATAAAGTCGCCAATATTTCTCCCTCACAACCGATGCATAAATTTCCCAACAATAATCCGTTTCAAGGGAGCCCATTTCTCACAGGTCTGTTGGCTGTAATGCGTTCATAAAAATTCAGAGGGATGTGTTGTTGTAGCATTGGCGAAACAATTTTCTTTTGACAACTACAAATTTGACTGTTTTCATCCACACCCGGTGACATATTGGACTTTGTATAAATGTAACACCGGCTGCTCGAGGAGCGTTGACACAGATTTTGCCAACGCCCGGCTTTTTATATTGGAGCAGGTAAGAAAATATCTGTATGTTGGTGCACGTCGTCACCCAATCTCTTTTTATTTGCGAGCGTGATTCTCATATGACATATTTTTCACCCTCAATTTACGGCACACCGCGGCAGACGCTCGCAATTTAGTCGGGGTGAAAAATCGCGACGTTTCATTTTTACGAATGAAAAAGGCTTGCGGCAAAAGCAGGATGTATTATGTATATCATCAAAAAGTTTCCCTTATACAGTATTCCTTTCTTGTATTTCTCCTGATTTTTATTTGGTTGTAAAAAATTTTTGTTTTTCACTTTATTGTTACAATAAACAGCTCTTGAACAAATTGTAATGACTGTATTTTGTTCTATATTTGCGTTTACCTAAAGTATTTTCTTAAATAGAGAAATCTTAAACTCTGTAAATACTATTTTCAAATAATTATACATAATTAAAAAAAACCTTTAATAATTTTTTTATTTCTAACTGAGCAAGTAAATTAATAAATCTTTTCTTGTTAACTATTAATATTATTTTTTAATTATGTTACCGTTTAATTGAGACAATTGTTTTACAACTTTTCATTGCGTTCTGTGTACTTTAATTTTGTTTATTTTTTAATAAAAATATAACTATTTCAACTCATTCTTCTTCAATTAACTATGATTGGCTATGATTTTAGTTGCTGGTAACAAATTCCATTATTTTCAATTTATAATTTCAATTTTTTTCTAGTAATGAAGATCAATATGCTTGTTCTTTATTATTTATTCAGATACCTTTTACCAGGAGATATATTTATGCCAAAGTGCATATTGATTTACATTGTCACAGTTTTTCTTTACCAAACCTTCACAATACGCAATTTGTGAGGGGCATCTTTCTCGTCTCCATTCAAGCGCGTGGCATTCGCTGTCAAAAGAAGTTCTATTGAGAAAGCGCCGGTCAAAAGAGCAGAATATGATGCTCGTCTGTTGTCAAATTACGCTCGGGGCGATTGTGTGTGTGTCAACTTTTGATGTATGCGCGTGCAAAAGAGCGGCCGTGATACGCAGCCTGGCCCTCTGTGTATTATGCGTCTGCTATACAATCAATCATTTTTTTTTTAGGAGCCCTATGAAAAGGGGGCCATCTCTGCGCTCCCTAAAAAAATGCAAATGTTCCAGCATGCGATACTCTATCATGGCATTTAATCCTTTCACATATTGTTTCAACTCTTTATGAGTTATATTTTTTCTATTTTAGCCTAAATTGTTTTGAAATCAAACGATGTTTTTTTTTAAACTACGCATGAAAAGTTTTGTTTTGCATGTTTTACCTGCCACGACATGATAGGAAGCAAGTATTTTCGGTGCCTTCTAATAAGCATATAATTATGATAGTCAGGTCTTTTTTACGAGCTGTAAGTGGCCTTGTTTTTTAATTTTTTTTTTTATGGTATATTCACATCAACTCTAAAATGCCTAATTTTTTGAATCGAAAGAAAGATTCCATAAATTATGAAAAAAAGCCTTGTTGTTGAACGTAAATAATTATATCGCTACAATGAGATCAGATGAAATTTCAAGTATGGCAATAAAAAAAATTGAGTTAACTTGGCAGGATAACAACTAAAGAAAACGACACACCAGGCATTATACGAATAATTACAACCCGTGATAACGTTTATCATGCCCTTTGAAGGAAACGGCCGCAGTACTTTTTGAAGGCAATCGTGTCACGACTGCACTCGCACTGTCAACGTTTTCACCATTTCACTGCAGTGATGTTGAATATTTCCGCTAAATTAAGCGTAACAATTTTGTTTCTGCTGTCACTTTTGACTCTGCTGTCCACTTTCGTGCTACTTGATCCTCGCAGCGCAAACACCAGACAAGCAGTACAAGCATCCAGTGTCCTGACGACGTTCAATCTGAGCTTAATGCTAGATGATCCTTCTAATTTTAGGAGTGCTTTTGGACAAAACGTGATATTTATGTTGGAGACGTCCAAAACAGGTGTTCTGAAATTACGTCAAGTGTGCGCACTGGAGGCGGCCGCTAGTTTAAATCCACATATAAACTTTATTTTGGCTTTTTCGGATTTGCTCGAAATTAAGGCTAAGGACAACCCTGCTCTGCAGGAACTGCTTCAACATTCCCCAAATGTTAAACTTGCAACACTGGACAGCTCAATGGTATTGATTTTTTTGAATTTCTACATATTTTTTATTTTGTTCAATGTAAAAAAATTCAATTGAACTATGATTTAAAATACCATAAGGTATTAGTTTAATTCAGACACACAAGTTAAAAAACCCAAGATTAAGTATGAAAATTTAAACTTTGCAGGCAGTTCGAGGCACGCCTGTTCAAGACCCTAAAGAGAATAAATTGAAGAAAGACAATTATTACATTAAGGAGCACACAAGCAACTTCTTGCGGATGAGCTTGTTGTGGAAGTTGGGCGGAATGTACATGGACCTTGACTATATGACGCTCAAAAACTTAAGTGCAATCATCGAACTGAAGAATTTTCTAACCGCTGACGCAGATTACAACATCAATAATAGTTTGCTTGGTTTTGAGAGACACAATCCTTTTTTGTTCAAAATTTTAGAGACTGTGCGTTCAGATTACGACCCTAAAGATCATCCCACAGTAGTCAGGTCCTTTAACAAAGCGGTAATGAATGTTTTTAAGATAAGCATTGTCGAGGCGATCAGACTCGTAAACATAAATAACCAGCTGCACGTTTTGAATTATTTTATAACTAGTCCAATTAAATACAGCGAATGCCATGAGGTGTATCGTACCAGTAATGCAAGCGTCTGGTTTGAATACATTAGAGAGCATGGAAGTTACACCATTCACTTATGGAACAGCTGCAGTAGGAAAGAGGGAAAGCTTGACCCAAAATCTAATGATTCGCCTTATGTTATTTGGGCAAGGGGATACTGCCCAAGAGCAATTGCTAGAGCCGTTGATTGGTTCTAGATGCAAATTAGGTCAATTGTTGCACCCCAATGCTACCTCTACAATAAAGAAATAATTTAAGCGATAAAAAATACACTGTGTCATTTAGGAGGAGCATGAATTTCCCGATAATTCTTTTCAATGACTTGAATATAATTAAAGTACACTTTTGTGTCTAAATATTTATGTTTCATTATATTAAAAAAAATTATTTTGAACACTGAAAGGGAATAAAATTAATTTCTTTACCTTTTTTTTTTGCATTTTTAAATTGATTTATTTTTAATTTTTTAACGACTTCACAAACTGAACTTTTATGATAGGTCCTCTATCTATCTATCCTGCGTGCAACGAAACTGGCTTTTAATTCTGAAATTGTCTAATTTTGGTAACTGACCAAGAAAATAAACACTGATTGCACAAGAAAGATTCTTTTCTCAGTTTTTCTTCCTCTTTATATAAATGTATTAATTTATTATAAATTGCATAGTAGCAAACCTGTGGTGTACAATAGAAGCGCTCACTCAAATCATAAGAAAGAAATTATGTAAATTTTATGTAACTTTATGTAACTTTTTAGCGGTTTGCTACTAATTCAAATTATTGCACAGGTAATAAATTATTTTTTAATTTTTCACAAAAAGTATTTAATTGTAATATTCGTAATGTGTTTTTATTCAATTAAAGATTGTGCATGGAATGGGATGCATTTTATATGCATTCAAATAATCTTGTCATAACTTTTTACCCAATCTTAAATGGTTTTATATTACTATATTATGATTTATACTATTGTTGCTGTATTGTTGCTATTTATTCTTCACAAATCAATTCAAAATTAGAGAAAAATCACGAAATGTGAAGAAACGGTAATACCTCTGGCAAACAAGTTGTTAAAACGCGGGGCCTCAAGAGAGGTCCACGTTGAGATGGGCTATAGTATAGTATATAATATCTAAATTTTATTTTTATGCATTAAAAAAATTTATTTCGTTAATTTAGTTTTTTATTTTAATAGAGCTTGTTGTATAGTCTGGTTAAAAATTTATTAATAATATATTCAGTTGGATAACTAAAGAAATTTTGTTAGATTGAAACTTGAATATGCAAATTGCCTTGCTTGCGTGCTGTGCAGGTTGCATAAGTACAGTTAGAGTTTGCAGTTGCAGCGTTAGTAAACTTCATTCGAAGGGCGAATTGTTATTATTAAAGGCTCCACCAAATTGTTGTTGCGCCGGACTTCTGAACTTTTTTACGATTACACCTCTTACCATTTGAGCGCGACTTCTTACTTTTCGCCTTTTTACGCGCGACAGACTCAGAAAAGTTTTCTATTAATGCAATTTTCCCAAAGTTTTGCGCCAAAAAGCAGTAAAACACAGAGGCGGCGACTCTCTTTTCTCCACTCTTTACGACCTCTATTCTTCCCACTCTCGCAGAAAAGATGAATCAGCCTTTTCCTAGAGATATGTTCGCAAAAATTGCAAAAAAGGCTCCAAGGAGCGAGATCTATTAATTCAAGCAATATTCTCTCAAGAGCAGAAAAAGTTTGATGGGCCATTAACAAAAGTGAGGAGGCAAAAACCGGCAGACATATTCATGCCTCAATTTTCAAAAGATTGATAGCTTGCCGAAAATGACTGCAAAAAATTCAAACGGCGTATATGCAAATAGAAATTTGCAAATATATTCCGATACACTGCAACAAAAACAAATTCTTCCGCGGCTTCTGTGTGGCGATGAAAACTTTCGCTCTTTAACGTCTCTTGCATCACTCCTTGCGGCCACGAGGAGACAACGTGAAAGCGGCAAATTGGAAAACTTTTAATTGAAACAAATGCGATTTCGTTTAACGTCATCATTTAATCTAGCTGGCGAAAAGGGAAATCTAGACAGAGTTTTGACGCGAGTTGAGAACTTCAAAGGTATAATAATAATATAATGGCTTTATAAACAAACCTACTCCACAAGCTTTGTTCAAAGGTTTTTCAGGATGGAAATTGATTTTGGTCCAGAGACTTGGTTGTGATTCGCGCACCGATTCAGACCAAGTGCCTTTCCACGAATGCCAAGGCTGCTTTTTGCTGATTGTTTTGTCGCTGCCTGGGGATAAAAGCTGCCGGCATCGTGTAACGACGGCCACACTCTCGACGGCGGAAAAAGCACAAATCATGGGAAGCCGCTCAGGGGGCAGAAATCGCATTTTCACGCAGCACGCTCAGCTGCACCGACACTTACTCCAGTTATTGTCTCTGTCGGTCGAGACCGGGAAAGCTTTAAAGTGGATCACGCGCGAAATAGAATTCACGCATTTCGCTCAATTGAATGGAAGCGAAAATGTGCATTTATTTACCCTAGTGCCGGCAACAGCAAAGAAAATAAGAGAGTATCATTCTACTCACATGAGATTTGAAATTTAATATTTTTTTATTATTCTAAATGTATTAAATTAATGTAATACGTAACTAATATTTTTTGAGAGAAAAAGCAGGCCCTTGTGGAATTGATCATGAAGTGACTAGCTTTTCCTTGTTAAAAAAAGGGTTTTCTTCTTTAAAAAATAAGGCTATATCAATTTTAGTATTCAGCTGTGTGTTTGTTCACGAAATAGTGTCGTGTACTGAAACATAAACTGGTAGCGAGTTGTGTTTTTAATGTATTTTTCTTTCAGCGAGGATAAATACATCTTTTTACTTTGCATTATTTTAAACGCCTGATTACTTTGGTAGGTATACAAAAGCCAGGTTGCCGCTTTTCGCCATGGTTTCCTATGATTAATTAAAAAAAAATCGTGATTGTTGCCTCAATTTGTCAACCCTTTCTGCAAATCAAATATGGATACAGTTAACAGAGATACATTGTAAACTGAAACAACAGGATTTTACTCAATCTAAACTTGAGCATAACCAACATAATTGGCGTGAATTAAAGAAAACATTATGAAATGGAGTAAAAGTTGAGCTTGATTTAACTTCATAAAATTTCATTTTTTTGGCTCTGGTAATGCGAAATTTAAATTTTATCCCAAAATGAAGAGTTGACAATGAGGAATAAAAACTGAATGATGATACTTTAAACACAAAATTTCAAGTGAAATTGGAGTAATTTTTTTTGTAACCAAATCGTTTGGAAAAATATGCCAATATTTGTACTCCACTCTTCACATTTTTATTTATTTATTTATTTTTATTTTTTGGATGAAAAGAACTCATCACAAATAGGATCTGCCTCTTTGATTAAAATAAGAATTTTTTTATTATTACCATTTTCTTGTTTTTCCTCTCTGTCTCAAAAATCTGCTCCCGAATCAGTTTCTTTGTTCATGTTATGTAAGCATGAAATCGTGACTTTTCGTAAGCGTTTTTACATGAGATTTGAGCACCTGAAGATTTTGATGCTTCATTTCTTAAATGTTCAAAAGCGCGCAAAATCACGAACTCTGAGAGGCTGCTGGTTTAGAAGTTTTTCCAGTACGTGAAACTGAATTTTCCATAAAAACAAAAATGGCTGTAATAAACATTTTAAATAATTTTAAGATATCTTCTGGATAGCTGTTACTAAATTATTTATTGTTTTTGTTATAGTGCAGCAATGGCCACTTCAATATGTTGACTCATTTTTTAGTAAAAATATCAATATTATTTATTTTTATTTATTTATTTTTTATTATTTTATTTTTACACTTACTGTGTATTTTAAGTTGAGAGCCAACGTTTGCTAAATTCCAAAACGCTGATCTTATCCTCTCCAGCGAACGCTTTCGAATTCGCAAAAGTGCTGCCTGTACCATGTTTTTATTTTTTGTTTTGCCAATGCAGCTGTTGCCCTCATGCATTTTTAACCGGCTCTCCCCAGTGCTTTATTTTTTGCATGCATGCAAACGCTTTCCCGGCTCAGCTAGATCGTTCAAACACAAAACGGGCTCTTCTGAATTAATCTTGCCGATGATCAAAGACATGCCGCCTTTTCTCCAGCCCGCATAACAGGTCCCGCTCTTGGGATCCAAACTGCATTCTTGTGAATATTTCATGACCGCAATCGAGCATTTAAGAGCATTTTCTTTATCGCGTCCACAGCATGAGTATCAGGGCCGCATGTTGCTCTGGCGAATATGGCCTTAATCATACAATATTTGTTACAGCTCAGAGAGTATGAAGACTTAATTGGAATAATGCCAAATTGTATTTATAAGATAAAAATAAATGATAATAAATAAATGACAAATGTACTCCAACCACTGTTGACCGCTGATTATAAAAGCGTCAACAGTAACAAAATTTGGATATTTTGTTTATCCTTTTTCTCATAATAATCAACTATAAATCTTTGACATTCAAATTATGGCATGGCAATGTCCAATTTTAAATAAATTCAAGGCAGGCTCTGCAATTATCAAATTTTACAAAACCAAGCTTTCCCCATTAATCAAACAAGCCAATGAAATATACAGGAAAAAAGTTGGACATGATCAAGGGTTTGCAGCTCGCATCGCTCACAATCATTAGCGACGTACAATCCGATTGTCCGTCCGGTGCTCCTGGTGCTCGTTGCTAGTTTTTTTTTTTTTTTACTTTTTTCTGTCTGGCCAGTCAGCGGTCTGTGCGATGGCTCGTGTGCAATTAGGTATCAGATTAATTCCAGAAGGCTCCCGACTCTAATCCAGCTCGCCGACAAATTGCAAATCGGTGTTATCTGCGAGTAACGGCTCCGTTTGCCTCCATTTATCTGATTGATGCGAGCGCCAATATTTTTTTATTCGACGTGTCTGTATCGAGATGTTTCGCTGTGTGCATTGTATGTCGATATGGCCTGTGGTGCGCTGCAGAATCTTTTGAATAATCGCGAGTGCTCCGCCCTCGCCGGGGAACCCACTTGCCCGCGCGCCGCCACACAAGCACATTTCCAATAACAATCTCCGCGAATTGGGAAAGGCGAAAGCGCGCTTTTCCCAAGGAATGATGTCGGGTCGATTCTGAACCGACGCGATTTCGGTTGAGGAGCTTTCACAATAATTGACATTT